TCAGCAAAAACGTCCAAACTAGCGTCGGTAAAACTTTCCTTACACTTGTTCAGAAGCACTTCCCCACCTCTCACAAATACAACAAAATCTTTAACAAAAACACCACCAAAGTCAGCTACAGTTGTATGGACAACATGGATTCTATTATAAGGAGGCACAATCAGAAAATCCTGAACCCCACCTCGACCAGCCATGACCGCAAGTGCAACTGCAGAGTAAAACGAGCCTGTCCCTTACAGAACAACTGCCTCGCTTCCTCCTTAATTTACAAGGCTAAAGTCACCACAAACAAAGACCAAACGGGAAAAAACTACATCGGCCTAACAGGAAATTCTTTTAAACAAAGATACACGCAGCATTCCCTCTCATTCCGAAAGAAAGCCCACGCTAACAGCACCGAGCTATCCAAATACATCTGGGAACTTAAGAGCACCAACACTCCCTACTCCATTCATTGGTCGACAATCCACAAAGCCGCATCTTACAAAGGAAATTCAAGAACATGTAACCTCTGCCTTGCCGAAAAATTCCTCATTATCAACCGCGGACAAATCCACTTCATTAAACAAACGATCAGAGCTAATTTCTAAGTGCCGCCATGAAAACAAGTTCTACTTGCGAAACCAATAGAAACAGTTCTTTTGTCTTCTTAATTGCTTCCTATTATTTTAACTATAATTTCTATTTATAAATTGACTTTATAGCACGGTATGTCTTCCATCGATAATAAACTGTCTGACGATCGTAGCGCAAGCTGCGTGAAACTCAGAGTAATGGCGAAACGATCTTCCTGTCATTAATTTATAACCGCTATATTTTTCAATATATATGTATATTTATGTATCTTCTGTATACGAGGGAAACCCTGACCCTGTACACCCCAAATAATCATACTTAAATAGAATAAATGTTTCAAAAGAAAATTTGCCCTGAGAGGAATTTGAACCCACGTCCCCCTGTTACTAGTCAGGTGTGATGTTTTTTTTTTTTTTATTTCTACTAAGACAGCTCAACATGAGCTGTTTAATTACAGCTATCTTACATGAGTTAGGTGTGATGACCACTACACTATCAGGACAACCATGCTGGCAACACGACAATCGAAGATATGATTTACGTGATCAGAGACATGGTCTCCAGGGAAACTTAATTTTCAAGGTGACAGGGTAGGGGAAGCCTATAACCCCATATGAAACCCAATTAAGGATCTATTAAAGATACACGACCGAAGTCAACTTAACGAGGTCAACTGTATATTTATATATCTATATTTTTGTGTTTTTCCCGGGGAGCGTAAGCAAGCGTGAGGCGAACTCAAGGCGAGTGGGTGAATAATGCGAGGAGAGCTCGCTGAACTGGATACGCGCAAAGGAAGGAGTAATTTTTTCGCGCAGCCATAAATTTTTCTCGTTTGTTTTGCGCGGTTTTTCAGGTAATCATAGGCAAGCACGAGTCACGCGCGAGAAGATCGCGGGGACAGTGCACTAATGTAGCTGGACAAGCGCGAGGGTTGGAGTTATTTAAGCGCTGCCGGATTTCCTCGCGCTCTCCAACCGGGAGAAGTTATTGTTTCTCCTTGTCGTACCATAGGATATGAACAGAGAACAGGGTAAAAAATAGGAATAATGATGTCATGTTACTCAGGCTAGGGGTCAAGGGGACTTTGAAAAGAGGTCCTTGGTGTTTTACAGGTTTGAATGTATGTACAAGTACTGTTATGCTGTTTCGACGATGCGTTTTGCGCCTGGAATCGTTCACGCGTCTGACGCATGTATGCTTACCCACGTGCACTATACATGACTTGTCTGGCAAAGAGACAAGTCTGGGAATAAAATAGGGTTCACTTGAAAATGGGGTTTACTTTTCCTGACGGTTCCTAGAGCACCAATGTTATTATTTTTCTTTTAAATGAGCTTACTTTAAAAGTTGATGAATTCGGAAGTTTATTTGGGCCGGGATAACCGAACGTAATGTCAAAGGTGCCACGAACATCCGGATAATTATGATCAAGACGATTTGTCTAAGCCAAAATACACAATGGAAAGATGACGGAGAAGTGAGATACGAGATGACAGAAAAACACCCAACTGTGTTTACCTGCGTAATAAAAACTGAAAAAAAAAAAAGCGCATTTGTCACGTCTGCCACAACTTTATTATACAGTTTGTTGCTAGAAAAAGTGGGCTTTTCTCTGACGCTTGCTAGAGACTGAAGCTGACCGTTGCAGACTAGTTGGAAATGATATCACTGTGGATTTGTGCCATTTTGCTTGTGGTGGCACGGGTTGAGTAATCATCTGCAGCTCCCGCAAGTAAGACTTCGCTTCTGTACTGCGCAGCTAAAAGTACAGCGGCCATGTTTGAGTTTAGCACTTCGTTTGTTTCCCCCGCGCTAACAAATTACCTCTCAACCATTAGCCCTGCCTTCTTGTCACCGCTAACTTTTTGTTTTTCCAGCTTAGTCCTCGGAGCAACTTGAGAATACCCAGCCACTTTGGTCCACCTCATTTACATGTGTCGGGAGGCTTTGAAGAACGAGGCATAAGAGATTAGACGTTTATCTTATTCAATCACATGTAAATGAGTGGCTGGGTTTTCAACTGTTTAGCCTAGTTCTCTTACAGATCGAGAAAGAATTGGCGCGAAAAAAATTGCAAAATTACGTAGTGTTTGTATTTTGCAGTCACTGTTGTTTTCTTTTATTTGTGCTCCTCTCCCGGAACTGCGTTAGCTGTGCGTTTTGGAAGTTTGTGCAGGACAGTCGAATATTTCTACTGAAGACTGGTACAGACAGTAAAACCAACCAAAATCTGGATTTTTTGTTAGTCTCAGATCAGCTGCAGGGAAATTCCACGACAGCAAATTCCTCGACAACGAAAGAGGAGCTCTCGGCCTATCAAACGATCGAACAGGCCAATAATGCTGAGGCAAACTTACGAAGTGAGCACTGATTTTTGTATAAATATCTGAATTTGCTTTATCCTTATCTTATCTCCCAAACTTAGGTATGACAGCGTTGTTGTTATGCGTAGAACTGCTTTAAAAATCTAATTACCTAGTGACTATGTTCATTGCGTGTGGGTTAACTGTTTATGCAGGGGCGGTGTGTGACTGACACGCATTTCAATTATTTATTGATTGCCTTTTTTTTTATCTCCAAGTGTCGGACAGAAGCGGGCTGTTTTTATATGAGGGAGATATTGAACTAACAGAAAGACAACGTAAAATGATTAAAACCCAGATCTCTGGCGGACGACGGAAGCGAGCTACTCTAAGAAGTCTTTCTCGGCGTTGGATGGATTCAAGCGGTCGTCCTTTGATTCCCTACTACATTGAGGGCAGTGTGGGTGAGTGACTGACTGCACATGAATAATCATAAGGATCTGGTTTCTCTTAGTGACATATTCTCTTTTCCCCATACCTCAATAACCCCAAAACTCAAATTATACTTAAATTTCCAGCGGCTTGGGCAGAGTTTCTAGAGAGGGGTAGGGTAGGGGTAGGGGAAGGGGAGGGAGGCCGGGAGGGGCGCTCATTCGAGGAAATAAGTTATATAAATATTCAATGAGAAGGAGATATGTAGCGCAAATGATGAGTGATTCTGGGGTGTTCTTAGAATTTGCGTTTCTTGCGAACTTTTACCCGCGATTGCAATCTTTACAGTAATGGTTTTGAAACACAAGGGTGTGGATTTGTTTTGTTGCAGCACATGCCCGCGGTGTCATAGATCAAGCCATGAAACATTGGATGAGTAAAGTTCCTTGCCTGAGGTTCCTTCGAAGAACAACTCATCGTAACTACATCAGCTTCTTTTCTGGAGGAGGTTAAGGATGTCGTTATTGGTTTTTACGTCTTCACTGCAGGCCAGGTAACCATTACATCTGCAGTGGCGCTGTATGACGTGATTGCTTTTTATAACTCGCGCGATGGACTTCGAAAAGGAGAGGCTGCCCATAGTTTATCGCTCCGTCTAACATTTGTGTTCTTTCATTTGACAGCTGCTATTCCATGGTGGGAAGAGTTGGAGGAAGACAAAAGATTTCTATTGGACGGGGCTGTAATCATATCGGCGTGGTCGTTCATGAAATAGGTGAGTGGATAAGAAAAGAAGCTATAAAGAAGTTAAATCCATTTGCCAAATAAGTCTGACAAGAACTGAATCTTCTATATCAAGAAATCTTTCTGTGTTAGTCACTCATGGGTTAACTATGAAATTAGCTGATGGAAACCAGAGATATTTTTTAGCTCGATCATCTTTCAGATACTTCATATTACCATGCAACCAATAAATTAATTTCTCGCTATTAGGAACGTGGGACAAGCAGTTACTTATTGTTATACTTATATGCGAATACTATTTAAAATGAAAGTGTCTCTCTCATCCGAAAAAACCGCCCAAAATGATATTTGCTTTAATTTCTTTTCAGGCCATGCTCTCGGGTTCTGGCACGAGCAATCCCGTCCCGATAGGGATCTTTACGTTAACATTCTCTGGAATAACATCCCAACCGGTAGGTGAAATATTCCATGTAATCAAAATTTGAAACTTTTCAAACCCTGAACAACACAGGAAAACTAAACCCCATTTGACGAACCGAAATGTCTACATCAAAATCTCCGAACCCAAATGATTTGGATTGTTCAAATTGTTATTCGATATCAAACCTGGGGTTTTTGCTGCTCCATAGATGCTTGCACGTAGGCTCCATTACCAGCCGCTGTTTGGGAACCGGAGCCCGCGCTCCTCCCCAAACCCTCTTCTCGGGGAGCAACGAAAAGGACTGGACTCGAGAGAGCGGCGGAAATCGAGCCTACAGTCGATTCACTTCCACTGTGCAATACCTTAGATATCTATCAACAAATGGGGATATATCACCTTATATTGAATCCGGTATTCCTTCTTTAGGAGTCCGCTCCCAATTCACGAAGATGTCGACAAGTACTATTAACTCGCGTGGAATCTCGTATGATTACGACCGCGTGATGCATTATCACTCTACCGCGTTTGGTATAGTAATGGACGTGCAACTATCACACGAAAAGATGGAAGCACCAAGCTGGGAAACACTCGAGGACTGAGTTACAAGGACATTCAACAAGCGAAATTGATGTACTGCACCGGACAACCCACAAATAGACCCGTTACTGTAAGACCCAGACCACCCACGGGTAACCACCGCGTTTCTGTTCCCTTTTTCCCAGCAGTTTTTCTAGCTTGAATTTGTTTCTGATTTCACAATGCAATAAAAATCTGACAGCCGTAGGACCCGATCTGGTGCCCGCGTAAAAAGAACACGTTTAATCTTTCTCTTATCGTCTTATATGGGTATCTCATAGGGACTGCATTTGGTGTCGGCTTGATACAAAGCGTTTGCTTGATATCATGGGGTTCGCCCCACAAGTTTTACTTCGAACGATTTTGAATGATAACAGCATAAACCAAAATTTGAGGAAATTTCGGAGTCGGCTCTGTTTCAGAGAAAGATCCTTAAAGGAGTAAACAGATTCACAATACCTTTCAAAGGAAGATTTTGATATAACAAAAATTCGAACAGTCGCATTTATTCAATTGTCCCTTTATGTTCCTGTACATTTCCCCAACTTATTACCCTACTAGCCTTTTCTGCGTACTCCTCACAGAAGTCGATCTACTTGTATCCGTTAGGTTGTTATATATTACCGCTTGAGATGTTTATTTCTGATAATAGAGCTGCTCTCATCAACAGGTTGTCGATACAGAGACAATAACTCCAATTGTCCAGCTTGGAAATCCATGGGTTACTGCACACATTCATATCAGACGTATATGAGAAAAAGCTGTCAAGAGAGTTGCTTCTGCGGAACTAGTAAGTCAATTTTTCTTCACAAACTGTCCAGTTTTTTAAATGTCACGTTCATGATCATTATTAGTAATTTAACTACAACCACACTCTCCACCCGGCAGCCATATTGATTTTTTCCTCAACAACCGGGGATAATTTTTCCAAGTCATCGCGAACAACCGGGCTCTCGGTAAACGGCGTATTGATACATCCTCGGTCGTTAGATGACATAACATAGGACGTATATATAAGTCCTTGGTAGGGAAAGGATTAATTTAGTGGCTATATAACTGTCTGGTTCAATTGAATGAGTAATCGATTATTCGCTTAAATGACTGATTGACTTATTGATTGACCAGCTGATTGACTTATTTATTTAGTATTAATTTTCAATTTTTTTTTTGTTTCCCCCAGATACCAACTGCCGCGACCTTGAGCGACACTGCCCAGCTTGGAGACAAAGAGGTTACTGTCGGCGAAACTCCCGTTACTACCCCTACATGGCAAAAAATTGTAAAAAATCCTGTGGCTCTTGCCAACCAGCCAAGTGTGCGACGCAAGAATTGTATCATGAACAGGAAAAAGTTAAACCGGTCTGGGGCAAAGTTTAATGTTGCCATTCGTTTTTCAGTGCATTAATAAAATATAAATATAGAGGCAAGACCGATACAACGTAGATAAGTAAATTTTAAGACGGAGCACTATATTTCGGCTGGCCAAACCAGCCTTCTTCAGGTGCAGTGGGAATTAACAGAGAATTGGGGTGATGCTTCATAGATAGCTGTATGATGTAACAGCGGAAATATGTAAAATTAATTTGATTGACAATGAGATAACAATAAAAATAGAAATAGTGAGCAAAAATAGAAATGAAGTAAGGTAATAAAATGTCTATTCTCCATCTGATTTTTTTCTCCATTCTTTCCGTTCCAAAGCCCACAAGAGACGTCGCAGTCATTAAATTTACTTCGGCACCTGCAAAGAAGAAGAAGTTAAACAACAGGCTGCAGAACACGCGTTATATGCTCTCATACATCTGTTAATCTATTTCAGTATCAAACGATTTAGTTTTTTTGTGTTTTTCACGTGAGCGTGGGCGGGCGCGAGGGGAACGCGAGGGCTGAACACGCGTTGGGGAGGACGCCAATTTTCTTGCACCTCTCTCCACGCGCTGTCTTTGCACATGAGTTTTCTTCGTTTCAAAATCACACATAACGATTACGCTTGTTCTGCAGAGGGGTAAAACAGTTCAACTGAAGAGAATACGAATTGACAGATCCTGTTCTTAGTACAGCAGTATTGTGCGGACACTGCCAGAGGTTGCGATCTTGTTTTCCTATGATTCTTGATTGTTAAACAAGTACAGAGAATAAGAATATTGATTTTGAGGTGCAAAGGACAAGGCGGACTTTACAAGAAGTCTTTTGGGTTTACTGGTTTCAATGGATTCTAGTTGCTTTGCTGTTTTAGCAAAAACAGTTTTGCGTAACCCTTAGATTCTAACTCAAACTTCTCGCTGCTGAGGCTGTTCGTTGTTGTTCTCTTAATTCTTCTAAATTTACTCTGACATATTCCTGGAACGTTAACTGACATGGCAGGCGAAGAAATCAACGCATTTTAGTAAAGACTGTCCACACGAAATCCTTCGATCCATTCAGTCAGCTTTACAGTATTTAAAGTTCCACTCGAAAATAAGTTGCAATTCATAAATTGCTCGCAAAAATGTCGAAGGTCGAACTGTCTAGCCAGCCCAATTTCCCCTACAAGGTATCGATATCCTCAAATTACTCACACGCCCACAAAATAACATCATTTCTTTGACGTCCTCCTTAGCTCACAAGTTGCGGGGGATGGGCTTATATCCAGAAAATAAAGCCAGGGTTTCAAAGCCAGGAAGCTTTTTCAACAGCTGCCATGTTATTACTACATATCTATTAGTTTGCCGAGCAGAAACTGTCTGCTTCGAAAAAATTCCGTGAGGCGTGTGCGTGTGTGACGTACTTATGATCACAGGTCACCCACGCTAAACGTTACCATGATTTGTCTAGAAAAGTAACAAGCTGGGGAACATGGAAAGTTTGATATGAGAATTCTTAACATATTCTCGCTGGATTCCTAAAGCACAAAAAGTTTCTTTGATGCGACTTATTGTAACAAAAGCTGTTAGGTAGGAGGTTCAAGGGGGTAAGTTTATAAAGAAACTGTGGTGCTACATCGGTGGGGGTAACAAGGTCATTTGGTTTTATAAACTAAGTTGAAATTGTAAATTGGCCACCGTAAAGAGTTAAAAAGCTGACGTTTCGAGCGTTAGCCCTTCGTCAGAGCGAATGGAGGATTTGTGGGTTGTGTGTGTTTGTATGTAAAAAGTGGGCCTACGTTATTGGTGGGAACATGGCGACGAGAAATATTTTGGAATAGCCTAAGTCCTTGAAAAAGCGCGTCGTAATCTTGCAAGCTCCTTGTAGGAGTTTAACAACACGCGCCACGTGTATTGATATCCGAATGATTCTGACCTAGACAATTTGTCCGGGTTAAAAAAAAACGGCACAATGGGTAGATGACAGAAAAGTGAGATACGAGATGGCAGAAAAATATCCAACTGTGTTTTACCCCACGACATCCGTATGATTGAGCATTAAGTGTCTGCGTAATATGCATTGCTGAGAACAACATTAGGCACGTCTGCCACAACTTTGATTATATAAGCAGATCTAGTTCACTTTTCCCGACCGCTTGCTAGAGACTGAAAGATATCCCTGAAGATACCTCGACATGATATCGCTGTGGATTTGTACAGGTTTGCTTGTGGTAGCACAAGTTGAGGAATCATCCGCAGCTCCCACAGGTAAAAACCTCTCTTCTGCACTGCGCAAATTAAACTACAGCCGCGGTTTGCTCATAACACTTTGCTTGTTTTAATTTTACAGTCATTTACCCTGCTTTATTGTAAACTTTCTTTCTTTTTCTTTTCTTTTGTATAATTTACTATGTATTGAGGTTTTACCTTAGAATTTGGATGCAATGATTCTAAGAATTAAATGCAGTCAAAGTTCATTCTATCTTGCGTTTGGCTAAGGACGCTGACGTTCTCAATAATTTGGAAATATATCCCACTAACACGCAAACAATGCATAGGCATAAAGCACTTAGTGTAACAATCAACATTTACTCTAGCATTAACTGTTGTGCTATTTGTTAAGATTCTACAGATAGCATCTGTTACACTCGCAACACAACGAACGGAAAGTGCTGTGTGTTTCCATTCACTTACAGAGGCGTGGATTACTATGAGTGCACCACAAAAGATTTTAGGAAGGAATGGTGTTCTTTACATGACGACTACGAAACTCATGGGCAATGGGGATTTTGTGGTAAGTTTCAATAAATGCTTAACAATGGGTATATAGGCTTAAGCGCGTGTTAATCCATTGGACGCGCCATGATATTGACCCCTCTAAATTTTTCAGACGTCACTGGCCAGGGTTGTTTTAATTGGTCCGAGGATTCATGTTTGAAACGGGAAAGTAATTTGAACTACCCGAGAATCACGGAGAGATATGAGACAAAAATTTTGGACACAAGGCATAATAAATCAGAGAGATATTATTTCCCGCAGTTATCGATTAGGTTTAACATCTCCGTGAAATACTCCTCCTTTTGTTTTTGTCACCTATCGACAGCTGAGCTACGAAGCTACAGTTCAACGTAAAACCATTAATAACCCACCTCTTATCAGTGCAGCAATCAATCATTTTAATTCTCACAAAAGAAATTCCATTTCGATGAAGGATTCAGTTCAGAGAGTCACATGTCAAGTGGTCACAATTTCTGTCATGGCGTTACGTTGTCTGCGCAGATCATGGTTTGCGCCGGCTTGTCATGCATGCGCAGAGTACATTATGTTAACCATGACAAGTTCAGTTCACATGCGCACGATTTGTCACACTTCAGGCCCAAGGCTGGATGGAGTATTTGACGAGTTGGTTCACAATTTACAATGGTGTCATAAAAAGATTGCGGCAAAATACTCCTTCGGAATATTCACAGATCACAAGTAGTTGCTTTTTTTCATGCTAGTCTTCTTACAGATCGAAAAAAAAAGTGTCACGCGAACTCGCAAAACTCAGTACGGCGGTGTTTGTTCTTCATTTTATTATTTTTTTCGTTACCCACTCCTTAAACTGCACTAAAATAGAGGAACACCTAGTTATCTCTCATAATCAGCGTTTTTCTCTCCACTAAACTATATATAGTATTTCCTTATAATAACTAAGATGATTATGTTTATCCTAGCAAAAGCGGCAACAAAACCTGTCTTTGACGCCATCCTTGAAGCAACTGGAGAAAATGGCAGGTCCAGAGGTAAATGATTTCACGTTTTCAATAAAATAGTAACCAGATTGGCCGAGCAAAAACCGGGTTGATGCTACATACACTTAAGTTCCAGTACTCTCGCGGAAAACTCACGACACTATTGTGCACGACATTGCTCAATGAAATTTTACACGCCTTTTACGTTTTAATTCCTACGCTTCAATTATTTTTCTGTTTAGATGGAAGGGAAGATTTGTTTCAAGGTGATATAATCATGAGCGATACAATACGTAACAGCCTCAAGAGCCGAGGGATCTTGGTGCCTCCTAAGAGGGTTGTAAAACCTCAAAGTAGACAAAAAAGGGCGATCATGAAGGTGCCGTCTAGTCAAGGCGACCTTCGATGGCGTTTTGGTAGTACTGGAAAGTTCCGAGAAGTTCCCTATTACATTACAAGCTCCAACTGTAAGTTCACTTCTAACCGATTTTATGATAGACTCAGTTTAAGTTTCTTTCTTAACTATTTTATAATTGAAGCACTTCAAATTGTTTAAAAATGTTTCAGTCTTGGGCTTCATCCTCTATTTAATATGAATCATTTTATTTTTACATCTTCAGATAATGTGCGTGGAGTTATCCTGCGTGCTATGAGGCACTGGGAGGAAAGAGTGCCGTGCCTAAAATTCGTGCCGAGTCGTAGGGGTCGTTACCTTAATTTCTTCGCGGGTGGAGGGTGAGAATCAGATGTTTATATCGCTAGAAACTAACCAAGCAACACAGACTGACCAACAGACTGACAGACTGACAGACTAACAGACTGACTGACTGACAGAAAGCCAGACAGACTGACAGACTGATACAGATAGACAGACAGTCAGACAGACTGCCTGACTGACCGACAGACCGACAGACTGACAGACTGACAGACTGACAGACTGACAGACTGACAAACTGACTAACTGACTGACTGACTGACTGACTGACTGGCTAATTGCCAGACCGACTAACTGATTGGCTGACAGACCTACTGACTCGCTGTCTTACGAACTGGCTTACTAACTGAATGACAACTCGTTGACTCTCTGGCTTACTGACTCACTCACTGAATAACTGCCTGACTGATAGACTGAGTTACTGCTTGACTGACCCACTGACCCACTGACCCACGGACGTACTTAACCACTGACTGACTGACTCAATGACTGACTTACTCACTGACAGACTGACTTACTCACTGACTGACTGACTGACTGACTGACTGACTCAATAAGTGACTCAAGAATCACGGACTGACTCACTGAAAGACTCACTGAATGACTGACTCGCTCACTGACACCCATAACATTACTTCTTTGCAGCGGACAACATGAATAGTTTCTAGAATTATTAACCTATTACAAGAAAACATGTTAATATTCTCTTGCCTATCACAAATCATAGAAACATTAGTTTCTTCCCTTTTTTTTAAGATGTTATTCTTTGGTTGGCCGTCAGCGTGGCTCGGGGCCTCAGAAAATCTCGATTGGAAACGGTTGTGGTTATCTGGGTGTTGTAGTACACGAAATAGGTATGGCCATTCATCGTAATAGTATCTGTTCCTGTCACAGTTGAGTTCATGTGAGATTAACTCATTGAATAGAAAGGAGTGGAGTCTAATTGATTGTTTATTTAGTTACTTTATTTATTTGTTTCATCACAACACTTACTGATTTGTTTTTTTATCTCGTAGGACACGCCCTTGGATTCTGGCACGAACAGTCCCGTCCCGACAGAGACTCTTATGTGACAATTAACTGGCAAAACATCCAAAGAGGTATACTCGCGTGGGCCAAGTTATTTTCATTTTGACATTACAAAGTTGAAATAAATTAAGAGATGGAGTACAATTACTTATTTTGATCATTAAGTTTGAAAGTTAAATCTTAAGATTGGGGAAATATTTTTGCATGGCAAGAATGTTAATTTTTTTTTTTTCCATTTAGGTATGGCGTATAACTTTCATAAATATGGAACCAATAGGGTAGACAGTCGCGGCGTCTCATATGATTACGATAGTGTTATGCACTATTCCTCAACGGCCTTCGCCAACCGCAGGGGAGTAAAAACTATTGTCGGCAAGTACGGCCGCACTAACCTTGGTCAGCGGTATGGGTTGAGTAAGTTAGACATTCAGCAAGCCAATACGTTGTACTGTGATCAGTCGGTTACCAAGCCACCAGTCACCAATCCCCCACCCAAGCCACCAACACCTCCGCCACCAGGTAAGTCTGCCCTACAGACAACTATGCTTATTAGTTAGCCAGCTAATGTGTCACTAAGTCATGACCCTGGTTCGAGAGTTAGTCTTTCAGTCAGGTATCATTCTGTCTTTCAGTCAATCGGTAGAAAGGTGTGAGTCTGTCTGTCTGTTTGTCTGTCTGACTGTTTGTATGATCGACTGTCTGTCTGTCAGTCAGTTGTCTGTCTGTCTGTCCGTCAAATGTCTGTCTGCCTGTGTCACTGGACCAGAACATTTCAGTCTGTCACTGGGTCATTCACTGAGTCAAGACATGGATTGGCGATAGAAGATTTGCCTTAATGTCATGTAATAAAAAAGTCATACATTTTCCCATAGGTCAGTGGGGAAGAGCAGCAATTGTTGGGTCACTTACCATTTGTTAGCTGCACACATTAAAAGCTGAGAAGTGGAAGATCATTGCTTATTAAGCTTAACATTAGTTGAAAGAATCCTTAACCCAGGATCTGCGGTCTGAATTTCTTCTTACCCACCATTATCGCCCTCTTTTCATGAATACAAAATTCCTGGCTGAACAACATTCTGTTGAACTTTGAAACCAATAACGTACAGATCGTAACTTGAAAATATTAACAGTATATTTACCTCCCTCTCTCCCTGACTGACCAAATAAAAATTCTCCTTGCGATACTTCAAAACGTTTGCGAACACCAAGGTGATGAAAAGAATAAGATTAATATTAACTTACGGAGGTTGTTCGAATTAACACTAAACTCTTAGAGGTAACATTTTAAGAAACGCATGACAGACAGGGCGGAGAATCGAAATATTTGCTCTTATCGCTGAAATGTTTAATTTTTGATCCAACGCTTTCTTTTCTTATTTTTTTTTTTATCTTCCTTGTTGTGACAGGTTGCTCTCCTGATAGTCACGATTGGTGTCCATTTTGGGCCAGTGAAGGATACTGCACTGATTCACGATACTCCACTTACATGAATAAAGATTGTCAAACGAGCTGCAAGAGGGAGTGTCAGAAGCCTCGTGAGTACAAATCATTACAGAGCTCAGGGGCGGATACGGGAATTTTTGATTGGGCGGGGGGGGGGGGAAACAAAACTTTTATTCGGAAAACACAGGTTTTTTTTTTTGTTTTTTTACATTCTAGCCTCTATAAGCTGCGAATTATTTTAAGACAGCAATATTTTGAGTACTTCATACTGAGTAGTAACTTACGATCTTGTCGTAGCAAGGATTGTGGTGTCAGACAATTAGTTAAAAAACTGCAGGTCTGATAATGGGGCCTGGGCCCCACCTAATTGTGTCAACACACCCATACAACAACTCACGCCTCATTCCCAAGAAAAACATCATCTGCATGGCAGAAACTGATGGTTGGTCACCAATCTGTGTTGCATCCTTTGTGTTCCAGGCAAAAAGTCTTAACGATTTTGTAATGAAACGTTTTATGTTCTTCCTCGTTTAGCCATCTGCAAAGACGAACACAAATATTGCGCAGGTTGGATGAGAGAACCCGGTGACTACTGCAGGAAATTCGAACCGTACATGAAAATTTACTGCAAGAAGAGCTGTGGAAAGTGTTAATTAACACAAATTTTATCTTCATTTCTCATTCTCGATCTATGATTACAATTTATTATTAAAACGAGATTTCGAAATAAAGTCCTGATGTTTAAAAACAAATAACTCTGATAGAATAAGAGGTGTGGACCCTTCACAAAAAGTTACGTTTCTGATGACCATGTTCGATAATTTCACCTTAATTTCCTATGAGCATCATCTTAAAAATTTGTTAGTCGTTTTTCCGATAACCAAATTGTCTATTTTTCTGGTATAGTTTCATAATAGGGTGTTTTTTTGCTTTTTTTTTTTTTTTTCTTTTGCTTTTCACAAGAATACGTTATTCCACGACAGGGTATTTCGTGGTAAATATGTAAGTGTGAGTGAAATTTTTCATTAAGTAAAATAAATGCTGATTTGCATACGAGGAGAGTTGTGATTCATGGGAGAACAAAAGTCATTCTTTTCACTGGGATGTTTGTTGTGTGGGTGTCCACGTTGAAACGGATGTCTGCATTTGCAATTATGAAGAAGATCGGACCCAATAGCAATACGGGATAAGGGTCAACAAGGTATAATGACCATTAATGGGTATGGAATATCTACCCAAGCTTTCAACTACGTCTGCTGTTTGTCTCGATTGAAAAAAGACTGTCCCACTGAGCAGAACTTTACTATTAAATTTGTTTAAAGGCTTTCGTTCGAAGAACGTCTATCCATGGGTATAAACAGAAACTTCAAATTGGCCGTCATGTATTACATGCACTGAACATGTTTGTAAACATGATCGAGGACAAATCACTTATCGGCAAATTGTTGGCTTACGTCAAGCAGAGAAAAAAGTTTTGATCTTTTAATGGAATTTGGTGTGAAAATTTAGCGTTCCGGCTGAATTAACGAAGCCAAACAAACGAGCATCCTGTGTTGGCGAAACTGAAGACCGTGACGACCCCAGCACGTTCCGATCCAAAACATGATCGGGTTTTATGTTACGATGCAAACAACGACCAACTCAAGGAACACCTCCTTCACCTCTGACACGGAAAACGACAATCGTAACACGTAACAGGACACACGTGAGTGGGTTTCTTGTTACACGAAGCATCGTGTGAAATATCATAACACAAGAATTCTGGGAACACAAATAAATATGCCCAACAAATCAGGGCGGAAAATCCAGACTTAAAAGAAGAACTTTCTTTATCTGAGCTGACTCTTAACTTCTAATTGGCTGCACATATGAGCTTTTTCTAACGAAATATTTGGTATAAAAACTAAGGGTTACACTTACAATTTATCTTCAGAAGAAGAGGATACCGCTCTATCAGACGGTGTTCCTTTAGTTATGCATCCGCTACCACTGACTGCGTGTGATTGGTCAGCTAATTTTTATGTTGAGAACTTTTCTCTAAAAGTTCGCTACTCAGGTCAAAAAAAGAAAAGTTTTGTCTCCGGACACTTTGGTTGAAGTAAGTTGTAGACGACCGAGCTGTAGCCGTCAGTGTAGAGGAATATTTGAGGTGAGGAACTTCAACTTCAGTTCTTACTACATTCAGACAGAGTCTTTCAGTTAAAACATAAGTGAAGAACGATAGCTGTCATGCGCAACAATTTGATCCACTAGTGGACTATCTCATCTTTTAAGAGTGCCTCGTAATTCAGATTGAATCAAAGAATCTAAACCACCGCGGGGAAATAATATTTAGAAGATTGAGCCTTTTGTCGTGTTTGCGTGTTTGACACGTTCAATTAATTTGAAATGAGTTAGAAGAAATAAACTCATCCATGTGTTTTGTTTTTTTTTTGCCTTGAACTTTTATTTTGTCATTGCATTATATAGCTTTAATTATAAGCCTGCTAAAATAAGCTATAATATTATGGCTGGGGATCTTAGCAAGCTCTACTGAGCTTTTATAAGAAGATCCCCATCTAATAAAAACTGTAACTTATAGCAGATGGTTTAATTATGAACGTAAGATATTTTGCTGCTTTGCTGATAAAATTACGATTTGAAGTTATATCTTTAGCATAGAATTTAACTATGACTTTTCAGATAGATTCTCATTAATCTCTTAAATTGTGTATATGAGTTTCATTCTTTCAGGTCTTTAGGTAATTCATTCCACATGTGACGTGGATAAATTAAACAGTTTTAATTGCTACCACCGCTGATACTATTTCAATCTGAAGGTCGTCTTTTCAGCGGATGAAGCCGGGATGGTGAGTCGGCGTCGAGTCACCTATCTCCTTACGATTTTGTTTTTTATGGATGCATCTTTTATTGACCACGTAGCCACTCAATGTGGGGTTTTTTGGAGGCCTCCTGGAGAAGACTGGGCAAACACTTGGGATGGAATGCTTTACTTTAACTGTCCAAGAGGTATGTTTCGTATTTGATCAGTTCAAATAAAAAAAGGGGGAGTTGGCGAACTAGAGCCGGGTGAACTCTGTGTACTTATCTCGTCTATTTAATTTGTTGAGTGATCTACAAGAAATGATGTTCTCCACGACACTTAGAAGAGGAGAAGTATCTGCTTGAATTGTAACTGACTCGCAACTTTTTCATTGCAACAGGAAAATCGATCCGTCGCATTCATAGCATCCACAGGAACTGCATAGAGGATCGGATCTGGGCTTTTAGCTGTGAGTCAAACTCTGCAGCCCAAGTATGCTCCTGGACAGGATTCGTGAATAGTTATGACGAAATTTTGGACTTCAAATGCCCAAATAATGGTTTCATTTCCGGCATCTACAGTGTGCACAGCAACCAACGCGAGGATCGCAGGTTATTATCGGCTTCTTATAGAACAATCAGCTTCAGTTCTAAAGTATATCTGTGTTGCCCAACTTCGCTCTGTGATTGGCCGACAAAACCTCGCACTACATTCTCAAGAATATACGAGGATAATCATGTGACTGCGGTCAACAGTGTGCCAACCAATAAAATACAGGTTAATTAATAACTGAGGTATTTACCCAAATAGGAACAAACACTATAGAAAGCAAAAAGAAAAACTTGGAAAAGATAAATTGGTCAGAGAAAAGACTACGCCCTGTTCTTTACAAAAAACTGTCACCTTAAGGACTGGTCAAAATCTATCTTCTAATGGGAGAAGGTTTGGAAGATTTTGTTTAAGTCATGATCAGATTTACCGTATCTACCCAAGCAGTCAATTTTCTATACTGCCTCCTTAAAGAGCTTATGACGCGAATTTTTTTCGCATATTTAGTTAGCTTTTCATGAGTACTGAAACCAATTCTGTTGGCGACGACTGATTCCCTTTCCGTTCCCTCTGGAGACCATGTGATTCCTCCGCCAGGCGGTAAACACTGATTGTCCCTTATTCATTCTGAGAAGAAACACTAACATGAAATCATTTTCATACCAACCACGACTACTACCACAACCCAAACCTCTCTATTGCAGGTTTGAGTTCAAGTGTTGTCACAGTAGCAGCTACAGACGCTACAAATGTGAATGGGGCCACACTACTAACTGGGATGCTGATATCAACTATAGCACCTCTTGGGGTTGGCTGGCTGGAGCACATAGCTATCACAATAACTATTATGAGTAAGTACAACAACAACAATTTAACATTTATATAGCGCAAACTACTATATAGATAATCAGTCGCGCTTTACAATCAGTTAAGGTGAGATCGGACGTCAGAATTCATCAGGCGCAGTATGCAGCCACTTCAGTCCATGTATTGATCTCATCTTCCCTTCCCAATTCACCCTAGATTAGACACTACACAAAGATAGACCACAACACCGGGCACTACGTGCCCTACTCTTTTCGAAGAGTGTGTGGGTTCTTTAACGTCGCACAATTTTTATCACATATAAGGGCTTGTGAGACGGGACCTCCATTTATCGTCCCTATCCGAGAAGACTAGAAAGTCTAACCATTTGCAGATATTATTACAAAGGCAGCACTTTCTTCTCAGTTATTTAAAGACCCTGAGTGTTGGTCCGGCCGGAGTCGAACTCTCGACCTCCCGCACAACAGTCCAGCGCTATACCAATTCAGCTAACCGGGAGGTTAGTAACTTGATTCGGATAAAGGGCGACATTAATATAACTGGAAATCAGTCGTTAATAGAGATGCGCACACTCTTTTTGGTGGACGATAACGTCAAATATCGCTATAATTATGCGACGCGATTTTTGATATAGTTGCACGAGAGATGAAGGAACCAGGTCGAGTTCATCAGGTTGAGGCTATTGTGATTTTCCTGCGCCAAGGAAATCACACTCCAAGAAGGATGGGGGAGTGGTGAAAAAAAAAAAAAACACAACAAAAAAATAAAAATAAAAAACAAGAAAGCAAAAGAAAATAGATAAATAAAAGGAGGAAATTCGTGTCTTGGGTCCTCGCTCTTAATTTTGCTTTCTTACCTTGTGTTATCTTCTTTTGTTCTCCTTTAGAGACAGACGGTGGCAATTTTATCAGTGTAGGAAGCAATACAACAAATAATGATGGGGACAGTACAATAAGAAGGATTTGATCGAGTGGTTAACGTTTAATTTGATTATACTAGAAAGAATCTTATCTTCGAAGCTATGGACGCCTAAATCAACTGGGTGAATTTCTGGAAGTTAAAATCTTATCTTGTTTGAATTTAAGCTTTAGACAGGCCAGCAGAGGTATAAACAAATCGATTTTTCAATCCGTCAAGCTGAAGAAATTTGTGTTAAGAAGTAAGAAAGAAATCAAATTCTACTTGAATAACTTTTCTATAGATTGTTACTTTCGGATGCTCAATCATTGTCCATAAAATATATTATAATATAAATAAAAACTGAATACGCCTCAGCCTACTCCTATGTGTACATAGATACCTTTACCTGCTGGAGAACTTACTTTAGAGGGCTCCAAATTTTTAAATCTTGATGGACATCTCAATGGGATTAATTAACCGCCGCCTAAATTGTTTCGTACACAGACCTCCCGTGTCTAATCGTGTCTGTTGGATCTGGGGAGAGCACTTTTAAGCTTAGCTTTGTTTGTAGCAGGAAAAAAAAAAAGAGAAAGCTCATTATCCTTTTTCGACGCACTTGGTCTTTTCTCTACATTTTGGTGTTTCTCTAACGTTCAAGTTTTGTAGACCTTGCTTTATATAACTTAAAATGTCTTAAACATGGGGACGTATCGTGAAGTGTAACTTGTTTCCCTTTCATCGTGATTTCATTTACATTCAATGCTTGAGCCCTTTTTCATAAGAGGCTACTTTTCAACTTGAGCAAGAAAAAAATATGGATATATCCAGCATAGATACCTGAAATGAATCATCATGGGCCTCGTTCTTAATTCCTCAGCCTGGGGCTGATCACTTATTCCCCTTCTAATTTGAATAGATTGACTATCTTCACAAGGCTCTGACACAGATTTTTATTTGCGCTCTTATTACATCCGAAACCAAAACATCGCAGGAAAGTGCAGTCTATTTCAAACGTAACATAATTTTGAAAATTTAACTATCTATCTATGGTACCTCACGGGAGGGTGCTTATTCGAAACGGGGCGCTCGTTTCATTTTTGAAAAGAGTCAAGAAGACTGGAAAACGGACTTGTTGTCCCTGGATCCAACGACCAGCAACCATCGCAGAATCTTTGCCAGGGGAGATCAATCGTTTGAAGGCCTTGTACTCACGTGGACATAATATTTAGGCAAATGAGAGGATGATCACTGTTTTTGTAATGCGGCATTAGGGGAGCAATAAAAGGGAAATGAACCACGGTTGTTCTCAACGGTATGTGCACTCTAACAATGCGTTTTTTGATAAAGGGGGCCCTTATTAGAATAAAGGTGCTGACTGAATAGGAGCGCTTATTAGAATAGGGGCGCTTATTCTGGGGCGGATCCAGGATTTAGTCAGGAAAATTTAAGGAGTTCGACCGAGCCACCCGAACCACCCCTGGATCCGCTCCAGCTTATTAACAAAAACGGATTTGAGGGGGCTACTGTGAGGCCGAGGTGCTCAGTGAGGGGCGCTTAATTGAAACGAGTGTACTAAATCAAATCATTGTTTATTTATTTTTTCCTTTTTCTTGACTTTACTTAAACTGAGTGAAGAAAATTACGTTAAAGGTTGCAAAGCAGATAAGCACCGCTCTTTTCTACCTCGTTACAGACTTCACACTCCTGAAACAAAACCAACAGAAGTGTTAATAGCAAACCCACGCTAGCACGCTATGCTTGGGGAATAGAACATTTGACGTGGCTGAGAACGGGGAATGGAACGAGTAATTTTAGTAACTGATGCAAGTGAGGTGACGTCGTGAACGGAAAACGTTCGGGGATTCCCCGCTAGATCCGGGGTTTTTTCATTCGCTCTTTCGCTTTCCGAAGTGTATTTTGTTGTCGGATACGTGAGGGAAGATCGTCGTGTTAACCAATCTTTCATTCAGTCCTGGTTTTCGTTGGAAGTCATCGAGTAAAAAAGAACCTAAGATTCATCTTTTAAAGGGCTGTAGACGGGTGAACTTTGAAACACGTCACAGAAAATCACGGGACATCTTGAATTTTCATTCCCAATAGGGTTGTATTTCCTTGCATCGTGAATATTCGATCTCTTCGCATTTCAAACTAATCGGAATTTCATGGCCTAGTAGTTCATCTTCAGCATCTCAGATGGTTTAACCTTTTTCTCAAACGTTTGGCGTTGAAATCCGGGATCTCTTCCGGTCCACTGAAACCTTCGCTTGGTCAACATTAACTGCGGCAACGAAACACGAACTGAACGCGCCTTTCAGATATTTGTCATGTCCGCTAGCGTCAGTCCGCTTCCTTCGGGTGAGATGAATAGCTCACACTCGAGTGGAAGTAGCAGTGTGAGTGGTTATGTTGTAGTTGCTAAAGATGAGGGACATTTGCTCAATTTGGACGGCAGCAAGATTGGAAAAACAACTGAGATTCCAGCTAATAGCGAAAGCCTCTCTCAAGGCGGAAGTATGTCGCAGAATGATCATGAACTAGCTGACAGAGTTCAGAATCTTAGCAAGGAAAATGAACAACTTAAAACGGTTCTGCTTCAGAACAATGAACTCCTCGAGGTAAGGTTAATTTTAAATGTAAATAACCAGTTTTAATTTGAACCTTCATGCCCATGCGTTTTGTAACCAGAGAATATCTGAAGAGCTTCACTTCCTTTGAACTGGGTATAACTTAAATTACTTTGCTACACAGAGTTGGTTTGTTTGCAAATAAGGTGATCTTACTTTCTGAATATCTACAACATCAGACGTTGCTAAATTAGATTTTAATGCATAACTTCGTTTCATTTTTATATGACTCACAAATGAGTTTATCTTTTATTGAATTGAGCCTCTCTGATCTTCTACGATAGTGAAAGTTTGTTTGAAACTCTTGGTCTGTGGAGATAAGTGCAAGAGCACAAAAGAAAAGTGCATGGGTTGCATTAGTCGATAAATCTGTTGATTTTACCAACCTCCTTTTCAACGTGTTTCCCTGTTAATGAGAGGGTACCTTGACTGAAATGTCAGTTTGTTTGTTTATTTTCACATAGGGATCAAACCCCCTGCATTGCACCCTTAAAAATATTTGTTTAGTTCTGGTTGCCAGCCCTCAAGCCACTGTCACAGTAGTTCTTACCCATTCAAATGGTGGTAGGACAAAAATGTACTCAGATTAATGAGTTTTAATGTACTGACTGACTGAACAGTTATTTTAGTGAATTATGAATGCCTTTGCAGAAGTATTTTGAAGAACTTGCTGACATGCAGGAATCTCAGAAGCAGACGAGTGAGTCCTTACGCAAAGGATATGATCGTGCCAGGGAGATGGTCAAGAAACTGCGAGAGAAGAATGGAACTTTAAAAACTGAACTGAAATATGAGCAAAACAAAATTTTGCAACTGGAGGGAGAGCTGTCCAAACTGAAGGAAGCAGATGAAAATGAAAAGTCAGCACAACTTGAAAAAAATTCTAATGATGACAAGGCCAAAACATATCAAGTGCAGCCTCCTAATGAAGTGGTGAAGAGGCTTGAATCTGAAAAGGCTACCTTAGAAATGAATTACAGCAAATTACAAGAACATATTTCACGCTTGAAGGCCATGCAAGAAGCTGAGCCGGTAAGACTTACTTGTTCTAAAACTGTTACCCAAACCTAACCAAGTCTGATGTTTCTGCTTCCACTTTTCCAGTTTTTAAATTGTATTCTTTTTCTTTTAACAGAATACTGAAACAGATGACTGTGACACTCTGGTTTCCATTGACACACTGTCTTCTGACATTCTGCTTGAGAGTCCAGAGGCATATTATGAGAACTTAAAAAAACTTGAAACAGAGAAAGAAATTTTGAAGGTGAAACTGGATGAGATGAAAATTGAGAGTGAGCAACACCAACAGAATTTTAAACAACTTGAGGAAGAACGTGACCAACTTCTAAAGAAAATTGAAGATTTTGAGCAAGGGCAGGTTTTAGAAGAGGGAGATATTAAGCTGGAGGTAGCTGAAAACCAAGCTTCCACAGCAGCACTCTCCGAGCAAATTGCCACTTTGACTGAACAGCTAAGGGTACAGACAGAGGTGATGGGTAACCTTAGAAAAGAACAGGGTGCTTTGAGGCAGGAGAGAGACATGTATCAGAAGAAGGCTAAAGAACTTGAACAAGTAAAGGTACTTTTGTCTCTTAGGTTTTTTTACTAAAGTTTACTCAGCTCTATAACCTTATACTCCACTTTTGGTTGTATCTGATGACTTAAAATGTGGACACAGTAAAGTGAAATAGGTTAAACCAAGGAGCATTTCATGACGTTCACAACAATAGAAGCAAAAAGGGGCAGAATCTCCACAAGGAATAGGAGTCTATATCAGAATGAAAAGGAGTAGGAAAGCTGAAAATTTACTCCATTGTCTCTCTCTCTCTGACCTACAGTGATATCTTATCTTATGTTGAATAAAAAGAGTTCCTTATCAGTAGAAATAGGATTAGTTGGGCATGTAAGTCCTTAATTATGTTTTTTCGGTTTTGTAGAGAACCACTGAGAATGTTGAAATTATGAAACAACAGCAGCAAAACTCTCCTGAAAAGGGGAGAGGGAATCAGGAAGCACAAAGAGACTTACAGGATAATTTGTGTAAAGTGAAGAAAACTCTCTGGGAATACCAGAAACGAGAAGGAGGTCTTCTGAACAGGGAGAATGCTGTTCTTGAGAAGGAAGAGAAACAAAAGGAGGTGTGTTTTATTTGTCTCAGTTTCTACTGCCCTAGGCCTTAGGAGATAGCTTTTCTAGAAAATAGCCAAATCTTCCTCCCAAACAACTAACAAGGTGAGGAATCTTCTTTCTCCCCTTAGGAGATTCTTTTTTTTGCTGCAAAACTTTGTGTTTTGTCATCTCCTCTTTAGGATTTTCCACTGGTACTCTTACTGTACACATTTCATAGATTTGTGAAGAGCAATTTTCCTAGAAGATCAGTAGAAGACATCTGTACTTATTTTAATTATTGTCATTGAGAAGCTCAAAGAAGTTTTTCCACTTCCAATAGTGCCTTTAAGTAATAATATCCATTTTAGCTCTCCCCATAATGCATTTTATGTACATGTAATTTGTTTTTGATTATGAAACACAAATTTGTATTGACAGGAATACAAGTGCTGTGACATTTTATGATTGATAATTTATCAGGTCAACTATCATGGAAGTAAGTAATGGCTTTCTCTCCCCCAAATGCAGGTTATGAAGGAGAATGAGAATTTAAAACATCAGCTCGCTGAAGCTCAAACAAAAGTTGAAGCACTTTCACACAAAGGGAAGGGGCAAGAGGAAGAAGTAAAAACTCTGAGGAGGCAACTGAGTTCAGTATCAGATGAACTGACTGAGACGCACGAGCGGGAAGTTTCTCAGTTAAAGGAGTCAATGCAGACAGCTTGTGACAATGCCGACCAATTGAGAGATAATGTTGACCAGCTCATGGAGAAAAATGAACATCTTCAGGAGCATGTTGAGGAACTGAAATTGATTATAACTCAAAAGTGAGCATCACATGTTGTGGTTCAAATGTTTCTTTGTTAGTGTGTAGTTGTAGTTGCAGAAAATTCAGCTATTTACTCTGGAAGAATTTAAGGGTTTGAAAATCTGAGAGGAAATATGGAGGGTGACCACAAGCATCTTGAATAGAAGGAAGATATGAAGTGAATCTGGTATTAGCAGGGCTTGTGGTTGGGAATGCAAACCAAAATATAGCTGTATGAGAAGTGTGAATATTTTTGTAGGACCCTTTCACTTTTTGAACTCTTGAAAATGTGGGAGAGCAGAATGAAATGTGTTTGTTCATGGAGAAAAAATTGTTTTCTGTGTAAAACACAATGTGGTCTGAAAGAAGATATCTGACATTAATGTTTACAGGGAACAAGAAATACAAGCTCTAAAGGAAGAGTTAACAAAAGTGTCCAATGAACTGAATGAGACTAAGGAACAGGAAGTTAACCACTTAAAAGAAGAATTGTCAAACAAGACAGAGGCACTAGAAAATGCAGAGATTAGCGTGGAATATATGAAGGCTCAAGTGACACAACTCATAAGGGAAAATGAAACTCTAGCAGCAGAGAAAGACAGGCTTGGAGATGAATGCACCCAACAGTAAGATAGTTCTTCATCTTTTTTCTTTTATTTGGATCAGAGATGTGAAGAAGTTCCTCTTTGGCATAAGGCCTTTTTTTTTTTTTTTTTGAGACACCTATCGGCCTCCCCTACCTTTTTTAGACAGGGTTGTATGATGGCCTGGGTGATGGTCATTGTGTTGTGCCTTTGGGCAAGACACTTAACCAAAACATGACAAAATACAAAGAGGTAACCTGTAGTGAACTACAGGTACCATTGAGTGGGAATAGCAGTTCTCATTTTTGCTTAACCATTTGACCCCCCTAAAAGTGACTAGCATCTAATTTTTCCTTGCAATAACACCAACTAAAGAAGCTCTGGACTGTTAAACAAATTCTCTTAGTCGGCAGCATAGGAAATGTATAGAAAACAGTATGGAGAATATGCATACTGATATTAGGTTGTAAAGGTGATTGGCCTGATGCGGGAAATGTGATAGAGTTGAGATTAAATTTCAGTGGGGAGTTGAGGCAGGTTTGTGATGTTTTACTGGGTTTTAGCGTTCAAAGCATCTTCACTGACTAGCGAGTTGCAAACACCACTCAACAATGGCTTTAATAATTGTTCTCTTTGTATTATTGTTTTCTTAAGGGAAAATATGTATCAAGAGCATCTTCATAAGATAGCCGAAGACAATGAGAAGCAGAGATTGAAGAGAGACAAAATTATCGAAGGTCTCAGAAAGCAGGTGTCAACTTTGGAAGCAGATCTTCAAAAAACACGCCTAGAAAAGGAAAATGAGAGGTACTTGAGTCAGGAATAATCGTTCTCTGTCTTGTGCGTCTTTTCTTGCTATATTTGTACATATTTATCAATTAGTTTTACCAACCAAGAAGAGAATATGTAGTGATTCTATAAAGTGGTAGAGTAAACATGTGCAAGAAGGCGTTTCTAACAACAATGGGTAGCTATGAAAATGTCTTTCAGTTTAGGAAAATGTTTTTCGGGAAATGCTAGGATCTCGTGCTTTTCTACAACCTCTGTTAAAACTAGGACTGCAATAATCATTATGAAATGATGAAACAGTGTGAAATGATGAAAGTCAAGAATTAAAAGTTTAAAGTTGAACTGTTTATCTTTAAAGTGTGGCCCACGTGCAACTCCAAGAGGATCACGAACGTATAATTGAGGAGTACGATAACCTTATACGAGCATACCAAAAGACAAGCGACACGAACAAAGTTAGTCTTTAAGAATTATTATTTAGAATCTCATGATGCATTTTCTGTGCTTTGTTAATTCCTAGTTCCCCTATTTATGTTCCTCCAATGGACTATACAGGGGCT